ACCTGCACGAAGGCACAGAAACGAGGCTCCTTGCGCTGCTTGGCTTTAAGCTGCTCTAAGGCAAACGACTGGCGGCTGCAGAAGCGGGAGGAGATTTTCTGGAACCAGGAGCCCTCGGCACCATCGAACTGTAGTGAGATTCAGGCCAGGGGGGCAGGCGAAGCTGGGCGCTCTTACCCGGGCCAGCAGCACATCTCCAATCTCCTCAATGAGGTAGCCGCTCTCCTGCCTCCGCTTCATCAGGCGATCGAGGAACAGAGCTGTGAGGGGACGGTCAGGATAGGGGGTGCTGTCAGGACCCCCCAAGATTGTATATAGAGCCTGGTGGCTGGCAGGGGTGGGGCTGCAGGTGTGTCTGCCTGACCCCTGGAGCCATGGGCTGTCCCCCTGGAATTAGAGCTCCGGGGGTCGGGGTGGGGTTGATCCCAGTGCTAGACTTGGGGGTCCAGGAGAGCGGGCTACACGCCCAAGTCTAGGCGCCAAGGCCTCAGAGGAGGAGCCGGTGGTGGGGTGGGCAGGAGGGCGGCGGGCAGGAGGGCGGTGGCCCTGCACTCACAATGCACCTCGATGAGCTCGTCCAGGCTGGGGAAGATGTTCTGTAGCTCCTCCAGGGGGAAGAAGCCCCCGTCGGCCATGGGCTGGTAGAAGAGGTCGTGCAGCACCCGCAGCATTCGCACGTGGGCTGCCTCCGTCACCAGCAGCTCTGTGGGCAGCAGGAAGGAAGTGTGGTTGGGAGGGTGCTAGCTATGGGGGCAGTCTCAGAGGCAGGCTGGGGGGATGAGGAGAACGGGACGGGATGGGGACAACCCTCTCTGGGTGAAGTCATCTGCCCCTGAGATCGCCACTGAGGAGGCGCCGGCCGCTGCCTCTCCTTTCCGGCATTGGCAGCCAGCCAGGGCGACGGACATGCCCCAGTCTGCCTGGCACCACAGGCTTCCCAGGACACGGGTGTTGCTGCCCAAACGGGGAAAGTCCCGGGCAAACCAGGACGGCTCGGTCGCCCCATGGCCAGCATGCTGGCAGCTGTGCTCCGTGCCCAACCGTCCAGCAAGGGAATCAGCCTCGGTCTCAGGGACCACGACTCCCTCTGCACTCAGGGTGCAGCTCAGATGCAGGGCCCACGGTGCGTGCTGAGCGCCAGGCCCCGAAACCCCTCGCTGTGTGTCTGTGCCGCTTTTTCTGGTGAGAACCTGCTAGGCTTCGGATGTGGCGGCCACTGGCCCCATACTGCTCTTCAAGTATTAAATAAAACGAAACGAAACACAAACTTCAGTCCTCAGGTGTACTCGCCAGAGTTCAAGTGCTCAACAGCCATTGCGTGGCTGCTGGTGACCCTGGTGAGGGTGCTGTACAGGCACCGATCGGCATTTCCATCATTCCAGAAAGTTCTGAGAGCACTGCTTATGTTTCGAGCATGTACTTAGGAGGATCTGTGACCTAAAAAGCATTCGCCTACGGCTTTAAAAATCCCGAATGAGGACCTTCTCCAAGTAAACTTCCAAACGAGCTTCCAAAAGCATCTCTTTTTGCCAAATGCGCTTTATACACACAATTCAAAACCACAGAAAAGAACAAGACAAAAATGAGACTCCCTTACTCTGCCCAGAATCAGCACGACCGATACCTTCCCAGTCGCCCCACGGACCCCCAGCAGCCGAGACCGCGTACCAGCAGCAGCTGCACTCGCTGCTCTCCCTCTGCCCCACGTGTGCCAGATGCTCCACACGAACGTCTCATCCCAATAGCCCTTGAGACAGGAGCTATCAGTGCCCACATCTCACCAACAAGGAAGCAAAGGCTACGCCACAAATGCAACTGAACACACATCTCCTGCTCCCAGCACAGCACGGTCTGCACTACCGTCTTCGGAAATGTTTCCCTGACGGCAGCAGCCCTGCCGCGGAGCGGCCCTTCTGCAGTTCATGTGAGAAACGGCCCGGCCCGGCCTCCCGCGCTGCCTGCCGAGACCACGGCAGACGGACAGCTTCCTGCCCCGTCTCCTCTGCGGAGCGGGACGGGCACACGGCTGGAGGAGGGCACTCACCGCTAATGACCTCCTGCCGCTTCACCTGGCCCTTGGGCAGGCTGTGCAGGGTGCCGGGGGGTACGAGCTCCCGCCAGCCGGGGGGTTCTTCTGGTTCCAGCTCCAGTCCTGACCGTCCCGGCTCCCCCTCATCTCCGGGCTCAGGGCTGTGGGACAGAGGCCTGGTCAAGGCTCGGCTTAGGGCGGCCCAGAGAGGAGACGTGACTCCTAGTGTCCACCCCGCCCCCCCGCCTCCCCCGACTTGTCTTCAGCATCTGTGCCCCCAGGTAGCCCATGCTGCAGAGCAGCCCAGATTTCTAGAAAGAACCGTCCTACCCTCTCCTGGAACCACTGCAGGCCTTCAGTGACCTCAGCATCGACACCAGTTCTCTGTGACTGTCACTGACCCTTCCCCCTGCCCCCCATCCTCCCCGACTCTCCAGGCTGACTCAGTGGTAGGGGCAGGGTGTTGGAGTGACGTACGTGGCTCGTCGGGCAGGGCCAAGCAGGGCCGTGGCAGAGCTGGGGTCCATAAAAAAGGCTGCCACTCACCCGCAGGCTCTCCGAGCGCCCCAGACGCCCCGATAGCCTGGACCCCGAGGCCAAGGATAGAGTCAGGCAGAGGCCAGGACAAGGACAGAGACGAAGAAAGACCAGGACAGGGACAGGGAGAGACCAGGACAGGGACAGATGGGGAGAGACCAGGACAGGGACAGGGAGAGACCAGGACGGGGACAGATGGGGAGAGACCAGGACAGGGACAGGGAGAGACCAGGACAGGGACAGATGGGGAGAGAACAGGACAGGGACAGACAGGGGGAGAACAGGACAGGGACAGGGAGAAACCAGGACGGGGACAGGGAGAGACGAGGACAGGGAGAGACGAGGACAGGGACAGGGAGAGACGAGGACAGGGACAGGGAGAGACAAGGACTGGGACAGATGGGGAGAGAACAGGACAGGGACAGGGAGAGACCAGGATGGGGACCAGGACAGAGATCAAACATGCAACAAAAGAGAGGAGTCAGAAGGAGTAGTGGCATGTAGGGGTGCTCGGTGGGGGGTGGTCAGGAAGGATACGGAAACTTGGTGGGGAAGGGAGGGGAACCCAGTGTGGAACTCGGGACTGACCCCTCCCTTCCCTGAGGTGGGGGTGGGGGCAGAGCCAGGAGTTGGGGGTGGGAGAAGGGGTATTTTAATACTTAGCTCTTTGGCTGGGAGGGTGATGTCCCCACCCACCCCTATTAGGGGTGAAGGGGAGTGGGTCGCCCATGGGGAGAGGGGAGGGGCTGGGAGAAATGGGGGAGGGGCTAGCCCTGCCCCATGACCCAAGCACCCACCTCTTCCACTTTCTGGGGAGAGAGGGGCACAGGGTCAGGGGTGGACCCGGATGGAACCCAACTCACCTCCCCCATCCACCAAAGGGTCCCCAAAGCGGCTGCACAAGGACAGGCAGGGGGCAGAGCCTGCCCCCCCAACTGTGAGGGGGACAGGGCCCCCAGGCATGGAGCACAGAGGACTGGGGGGCTGAGGGAAGGGGCACCAGAAAGCAGGAGCAAGGCTGCAGGGCTGAGGCTTAAACGAGCAGAGGGAGGGATGAAAGTGAAGGGGTGAGGGGAGAGGGGCCAGTTGAGGGGTGAAGGGCATGGGAAGGAGGAGGAAAAGAGTGGGAGGAGCAGAGGCAAATGAAAGGAAAGAGGAAGGAGGAATAATTATAAAAAAGAAGAGGGAAAAAAGGAAAAAGGAATGAAAGATGACGAAAGGGAGAAGGAAAGAGGGAAGACAGAGGGAGAGCAGGGCAGAGTGGAGGTAGCTTGGGGACAGCAGGTGCGAATGGCAGCAAGACCCCCACCCCACCCCCCAGCCCCGATTCCTGCGCTCAGCACCCTGCCTGGGTACCTCTCTGTATCAGGACCCTCCTCGGTGCTCTCCAGGGGCGCTGGGGGCTCCAGGCTGGCGGGGCCCTGCGGGGGCGGGTCCCCCAGCTCCGGGGAGGCCTCACCTGTGGCCGGGAGAGAGCAGGGCTGGCTGGGAGGCCTTTCGACAGAGACTCCACTCTGGGGGTCTGTTTCTTCCGCCGTGGAATGAGGGGCGGAGACCATCCCCTACTGCCCCATCTAGTGCCTGGCAGACACCAAGTGGCTGCTCTGTACACCCATGGGGGACGGACAGACGGAAAGGCCTCTGAGAACACAGCTGGGCCCACAGAACTGGTGGGGAGACTGGATGCTCTGCTCGAAGCCTCCACATCCACCTGTTCTCCTGACCCTCAGCACGGACTTTCGGGAAGAGGACACATACACCCCATTTGGAGATGAGGAGCTGAGGCTCAGAGAGGGGGTGACTGCCAAGGTACAGCAAAGGTAAGCCTCAGACTGGGCTTTGAACCGGGGCCCGGCCAAGCAGCTGAGTTCCCAGGGGCCGAGCGCCACACAGGATTGTGAGAAATGAAATTCACGGGGCTGGCGGCTCGCCGTCTAAGGGGGCTGACTGGCAATGTACTCAGAGAATGAACCCACGGGGATGATGGGAAATGTAGTCCAAGGATGTAGGAAACATCACCAGGACAGAGGTCAGACCTGAGAGGAAAGCCGAGGAAGGAGGGTGGCTTTACGAACAGCACTGGTGACCGGGAGCAGGACGGGGCATGCGGGGGGAACTGAGGGGGGTATTGCCATGGGGACTCACCTGGTTCCCGGTCAGGACTGTCCCCGGACACAGGTTGCAGTGAAACTCCAGGGGAGTCCTGCCCAGGGACCCCAACATTCCGGTCCCGGGAGGGCACCCCCAGGCCTCCCTTCCGTTCTGTGAGGCCTGGCTTCTCAACTGGGGAGACATTAAGGGAGAAGGGGGGAGATGGGATCCAGTAACTAATCCACAGCGGCCGGGGCATCGAGATGCTGTGCTCCAGCCGTTCCGCTCCACCCGGGGCCCTCCTCCTCCTGCAGACCCAGGAGCCCAGCCCCGGCCCACTCCGCCCTCAGACCCATCTTCCCCTCTTTGGTTCCCAAAATGGATGCTCTGGCTTCAGGAACATTACCATCAGCCTCCGTTTTGAGGTGTCGAAAATCTGGGGCTGAAAAGAGAGATGGGACCAATGGGACCTTAAGATAGGGGGAGGCGGTATGTTGGGTGTGGTGGGGGGAGAT